CTAGCAACCCTGTAGGGCAGGGTAGAACTGCTCTTGTGAGTTTCTGGGACTGTGACTCTTGACAGGAGTGGAAGCTTCATCTTTGTCCCGTGGGTGGAGCTGCTGGTTTCAAACTGCTGACCTTAAGTAGCCCAATTCACAACCACTACACTAGCAGGGCTCCCTGTACACACACACACACACACACACACACACACACGCACACACACTCGGGTTTGAGCAGAGAAGAAGACTGTTAGGGATAGATTTGTGTCTCTCAGAATGTGTATTACAATTCCAGCCCTTATACCCGTAATATGATCTTGTTTAGAAAGGAGATTTTCTTTGTTAGACTAAGTAGGCCATACCCAAGCCGGTAGCTTCTAAATCTCCTCCTTTCTGAGTTCTATTAAGAGCCTATGGACCCAGAGACGCACGTGGGAAAGATGGCTGCGACGTGAAGGTTGTCTACGAACCAATGGTGCCGAGGAACTGAAGCGATGCCAGGGACCCCCCGAGCGTGAGGAGTGAACCCACTGAGTGAGACCCTGCTCTGGACCTGGAGCTTTCCAAATGGAGAATAGATCCATTGTTGTTCCTCGAAGCCACTCACTGATGGTATGTGCTGCAGCAGCACTAGGGCGCGAAGACAAAAAGGCTTGGGGGGGAACCTTTCCGTGTGGAAAGGGACCCACCCACAAGGCGCCTGTTCCATGCCCTTGGGCTGCTTCCGTTTTCAGAGTCTTCAACACCTCAGAGCCCCTGACTCGTTCTTCTCCTTGAGCCTCCAAGGAGGTCAAACACTCCTTTGGGTGTTTCCTTTTGCTTACCAAGCTGAGGGGGACTGAGGTCTTCATGAAGAACCACACTGCCTCGACTGCCTCCTGTCCCAGCCCAGTGGAATCCCTGCCCCTAGCCTGTTTCCTCACAGAGCACCTAGAGGAACCACGTCCTGAAATGTCCAATGTGGCAGAGCCCAAGTCTCATATCTATACCCTTAAGACAAAAAAGCACCCCACTGTTTTCGACTCCACATTAGCTCCACTCCCCACCCCGCAAACAAATGCAATACCATCAAGTGGATTCGCACCGACAGCAGCCCTACATAGGGTGTGAGAGGCTGTCAGTCTTCTTGGGAGCCGCGATCTCACTGTTCTCCCCAAGAGTGGCTGCTAGGTCTGAACTGCCAGACGTGGACAGCAGTCCACTGCTCATCCAACCGTGGCACCAGGGCTCTGACACCTCAGCGCAGGAGGACTACAGAGATTTGGACAGTCATAAATGATCAATGGCTACA